ATGTCAGCAACGAAATTTTTCATGTCGCGATTATCGTCCCCAAGTAAGCTTACAAACTGGGGGATTAGTTACAAAGTTTTTTGCGACCCGGTGTAATGCATAAGTATATTTATATGTACGTAGTTATAGTATATTCCTGCTACTTCAATACATCGAAACACTAATAACCTCACCTTGCGTGTGCGTGTATTCTTTATAACTTTCAGAATGATGCAAAAATGGTATTTGATGTTTGCCAACGCATGCACGACACGGAACCTTTCTCAGAGGAGCTTTTGGCTGCCATGAAACGATTGTGGCAGGATGCTGGTGTTCAAGAGTGCTTCTCACGTAGCAACGAATATCAATTGAATGATTCCGCTAAATAGTGAGTAATTTATTTTTATACATACATATAAACAAATTACTTGATTCTAATTTTTATGAACATACTTTTACTCTGCTACGGATGAAGTGGTTTCATGCAATATTTCTTAATTTAGCTTGCAATATGCAGTTCGCTAGAGAATGTTTTCAAGGAATAATAAAGTTACCTAAAAAATAATGATGTACTGAATTTTTAAGCGCACCGTCCAAGTCCAATTTTTTTTTGTTCTTAACTAATGTATTTCTTTCTAAATACACATGTACATATGAAAGTTTGTTAGCAATTAATTAATTAAATTGAATTTGATTTTTTAACAGGTTTCCTGTGCCCCCATACAATAACACTATTTTCTTGGAACATGCTCCGCATTTTTTCTTGGCTTTATATCTAATTTGATATTGTTTGCATATACATACATTTATCTCAAAAGCACACCCAATAGGTTTTTAGGTTTAAAATAAAACAGAAAACAAAAAATAAACAGTTAAAATTATTTTATTTTTAAAATTCAGAAGCTCATACATGTGGTTTCATGTGTCTCTGTAAAAAAGCTAAATATTTTTTGTCAAGTACTTATGCTGGATTTCCACTAGGCATTAAATGGCAAAAATGACAAATGACAAAGTCCGTCATTAAAAAATAATCTTGCCATTACATTAAAAAAAATAATCATTAAGATCATTTCCACATGGCATTTTTTTTAAATGGCAGACATTTTTTGTCATTTCAATGCCTAGTGGAAATTCGGCATTAGAAGCACGTACATGTCTGGTTGGCTGGTTGGTTGAAGTGCCGAGCTTAACAACTCCAATTAGCACTTAAGCGTGCCGTGTTAAAACTACTACTCACAATTCAACCCGTAAAGAACATCACTTATGTCTAGTGTGCTGGGCAATTCCAGAGCAGATACTTCACCATTTCTTCTATATCTGGTGAATTACAGCTACGACAAAAAGTGTTGTGTTCCAGTCCTAGTCTTGCATGAATTCCAACGGTCCAGTGCTATGTGTAAACGACAGTTAGTAGAGATAGATCTCTTTTGTTTAGTTTGATAAGAAATACATTGCGTTTAACGCAGTACGTGGGCCACAGACTACTGCATACTCTGCAGGATTGGAGGTTCTTCCACCACCTACTATACGCCACGTTTTTGTAGTGCTGAGATATGTGGCCCTATATATAGATCAAAGCCACAACAACCTCCTCTGATTCTATAACAGAACCGACTCATTCCTGCCTAGCTCGTCAGCCATCTCGTTGCCATCAATTCTGCTGTGGCCCGCCACATAGATCAGTGAAACGACATGCCTGTCAGCTAAAGCCATAACCGTCTGCACTGCCAGACTATCCAAGAAAAGAACAATGCTGATTCTCGCTAGCTTCGAGGCTAAAATTAGTTTGCCCGCCTCTTTGATGGCCAAGACCTCGCCTGCAAAACACTGGTAATTGAATATACTCTTCGATCCTTCTCCACTTGGTTCCGAGTTGAATACTTTTAGAGCTATAGCGTCGCTGTATTTTAATTCACTGTTCTCCACTATGTCCATGTCGCTGCAAAGCTCATACAGCTAATCGTTTCATCGTCTGCGGTACTCGCCGTCTGCAATGCCTTAAGTCCCGTAAATCTTCCACAAAATCTTTCTCTCGAATACTCGAAGAGCCGCCTCATCCGAAGTTGTCATTGTCCATGCTTTTGCGCCATAATCCAGCACGGGTATATACGTACATACATAGACTTATTTGAGTCGAAATACATGAAATGTCTTATCCAGGAGCGCAATGGTTCTGGTGGTTGAATAAACGGTGGTAATTTGAGATTAAATCCGAATGAAGCTTTAACGCAAGGCATTATTGAAAAATCACGTCATACTCAGTGGTTCAGCACTAATATTGCCCTTGTCGTTACCAATACAAAACTCGAATATGAGCGAGCCAAATTGACTTCAGCGTCACCTGGCGGGTGAAATTGTAAGCCCAAGAAACATGAAAAATTAAAGTTTCAGTTCTCATGGGAGTTACCAGTCCCCCTTTTCCAATACCCCCAATTTTTCCATGATATCATATACATATATGTATATCCCTAATTTCCAGTACCCTACCATAAACAATTCCAGAGATATGCACTATGAAAAATTCGGTTTGAATGGAAGGTGCCGCGAGTTTTTTTTAATAGGAGGTGACCCTATAAATAATTTGACACCTGATTTTTGAAAATCGAACGAAGAAGCAAACTTTTCAGGTTGGATTTACAGCGAAAGTATAAAATTTATCTAAAAAATAATGCATTTTTGAATTCAGCGTCCTCAAACTCACTGAGAAACAAATTTTCATTTAAATTCGTCCATAATTTTTGCCCACATTTAATGTGAAAGGGTAGCGTTGTGCGACGAGAGAGATGCCAAAGATGTGGCAATAATTATTGTAATCATAAAGGTTAAGTAAGTTTTCCACGGTCAATATTAAATATTCGTATCGGCAACGACAACCATAATAAACGTGTAGGTCGCCTTTTACCAAGCAACTCAATTTAATAAATATTAGATAATTCCACAAAAAAGACTCCAGTGCAGACTTAATATCAAAATTTAATAATACTGCCATAAAGTACACAATTTACAAAACATTAGCATAATTTGTATTTACACTAAGCAAACATTTTGTATAATAAAAAAGCACGTATAAAATCCATATCGGCGAGACTAACATATACATACATACATAATGGCGAACAACAAAAACAATCACTAAACAAATATTGAACCTATTAGTACGCGCCACTTAAATGCAACTTTGTGTCGTTGCTGGGCAATTTTGGCTTGCACCCAATGCATTCACTCCTCCCGTAATGTCAATTTGAAATTAAGTGGCGATTCTGGAATGTAGGTTGAATTAACTTTATACACTAATTCGCCGGAATTGTATTCCACTTTATATTTTCGAAATATCTGCAAGTAAATGAAATAACACATATGTATGTATGGCATATGAGAAAATGTTAAAATGTATGTAAATATATTTATGTGGAGGTTTGTGTGCGTGTATTTGACAACAATTTGGCAAAATTGCAATTTAGTTTGAAATTTTCATTTTGACATAAGTGGAACTTAAACACTGCTATATACGTACATACATACGATTTCCGTACATAAATATGTATGTACGTGCTCATTTGTGCACTCTCATGGGTGTAAAGTACATCTCATATGCGATAATCACTCACCTTTGCCAACAGCATATTCAATTCGATCTCGGCAAAACGACGTCCCACACACATGCGACGACCATAGCCAAAAGGCAGGCTGACAAAAGGATGGATTTTTCGTCCGACATGTGGACATTGCGCACCTACGGAATGTAATGAAAGTGTATACATACATACCATGTGAATAGGTTACAACAAAAGCTCGGCATGCACACCCACACAGACATACTCATATACGCTCAAACATTTGTGCGCGAAATTTTTTTATTTTTATTTCTTTGCGAAAATTACAACTTTTTTGCCTTTTCTCGTTTCTGCTTACATTTCACATATTCTGTGTGTGTGTGTGTGTGTGTGTGTGACTACTTTTTTCTGTGTCAATTGGAATTGACACATGCATCGGCATGCCATGGCGTGGCATGCAATTTAAAACAAAATGGCCATGACAACTTACTCGTTTCGCTCTGCTTCATCCAACGTTCAGGCAGAAATCGTTTCGGCTCTGGAAAATATGCGGGATCGTTGGACACTACCAGATGCGGGAATATGACATGTGTCTGCGAAAAATGAAAAGTGGTGGAAAAAGAGAAAACAAATGCGTTTAAGTGATATTTAATTTATGGGCTTATGTACACATGTCCGGCGTTTTTACGTGTTACGTACATACATACGTGCGTATGTATACATATGTTTCTACATATGTATGCATGTGAGTATAAATACATACATACGTATGTACATGTCCATACATAGCATATGATTAGGGTTTAAAATTAGGCATTAAAAGTGTTGTTACTGTCTGATGGGTGTGGCGGCAAAGTGATTGATTGATGTAATATCGTATCAAACGAATTAAGAAAACGTATGTATACTTCTTAACTGTTCTATTTTCTTTCGGCAAACATGTTGCCTGCTACTACATATCCTATCCTATCCTACAAATATTAAGGCAGTGCCACATGATGGGTACATTTGTATAGATTTGCACATTTCTTTAAATAAAAAACAAGTAAGAGCAGCGCTGTCTTCGGCTATGCCGAAGGCTTCATACCTTTCATGAGCATTTAAAAATTTTACTTTAACAGATTACTGCATTTGAAAAAATTTATATATTCACAGCATACATAGATAGAGGAGATAAATATGTATATAAAAAAATCATATCTAAACAATCAGAGGTATGGAAGATATACCTTATATAGCCCCGAATCTCCGATGTGTGATCGGTATATAATCCGGTAACACAATTTAATGGGTTTAGATTCCTACATAAACGAGATATGTATATCGCAAAAAGTGGTATCTGAAAAATCAGTGGTATAAGAGATAAAGCTTAGACAGCATAGATTTTGACGATTTTCTCAGTAGACTTTGTATTGTTATTTATAAAATAGCTTTCGAAATTTATCGGTTTGAGCTGTCCAAATGAAGGATTTTTACAGTAAAACCCCATATACCCAACTGAATTGTTACATGGAGGCAATAAATAGGTTATAGTAACCTGATCTTTGTTAATTTTACTGTAAAAATTCTGTTGATAATGAGTGAAAATAGTGCGAAATTTCATGTTTCAAGTTATTTCAAGTTATAACAAAGAATCTCATATCTGAACAATCAGTTGTATGGAGGCTATAGGTTATAGAAACCCGATCTTTGTAATTTTTACTCTAAGTTTTTGTTGATAATGGGAGGAAGAATTGCAAAATTTCATGTTCCTAACTGCACAAATGGAGAAGTTATGGCAAAAAATCTCATATCTGAACAATCAGTTGTATGGAGGCAATAAATAGGTTATAGTTACCTAAGTTAATTTTACTGTAAACATTATGTTGATAATGAATGAAAATAGTGCGAAGTTTCATGTTTCTAGCTGCATATATGGAGAAGTTATAACAAAGAATCTCATATCTGAACAATCAGTTGTATGGAGGCTATAGATTATAGCGACCCGATCTTCGCCATTTCCACTGAAAGTATTCTTTTGATAATAAGTGACAACAGTGCAAAATTTCATGTTCCTAGCTACTTAAATGGAGGAGTTATAATGAAAAATCTTATATCTGAACAATCAGTTGTATGGGAGCTATAGGTTATAGCAACCCGATCTTTGTAATTTTTACTCTAAGTTTTTTGTTAATAATGGGTGGAAGTATTGCAAAATTTCATGTTCCTAGCTGTATAAATGGAGAAGTTATAACGAAAAATCTTATATCTGAACAATCGGTTGTATGGGAGCTATATGTTATAGTGGTCCGATTCTTCCGGTTCCGACAAATGATTAATACATTATAAGAATGCACCCACCTACGAAATTTCATTCGGATAACTCGAAAACTGAGAGACTAGATTGTATCGACTCAGCTCGTCGTTCTGATCATTTAAGTATACATTTTAATGGGTCTATCTCTTCTTGTTCTGGTACTTACAAACATCGGACCAAAGGTATAATACCATTTCACGCTCAAGAGAGGTATACAAATTAGGACAACTATTATTTATTCTAAAGTCACACGATTGGTATAATACAGCGAACTTCTATTGAGCAATTTGAACAAATTGTTTTTCGTGGTTGGGTTAAAGAAAGATATTTGTGGATTCACACGATTGGGATACGATTTACACCAAATTTTGGGCAAATTCCCAACCGTGTAACACTGCCTTTATAAATGTGAAAGCTCCTGAGTGAGTGAGTATGTTTGTTGCTCTTTTACGATAAAACGGCTAAACGGGTTTGGATAAAATTTAGCTTATGAGTTGGATTAACATAGTACATATAGTGTAATTTGTTAAGAGGGTTCCCAGCCAAAAGTCCAAAGAAATACGATATGTTCATAAATCACTTAAAGGAGGTTAAAAACAGCTTTATTTCAAACACATTTTTATAAAAGGATTGCCACCTGTTTTGGAAAGCTAAATTAAATTTAACGATTAGATAAGTTAAATCAAAAAAAGTTTAGTTTCGAAAACATTTTTGAAAGCGACTATCATCGATTTAAATAGTTCAAAGCAATTTTACTAATTTATTAAATGAGGTGTTAAAAAATGGGTTGTAAACTAAGTAAAAAGGTTTAAGAAAACTCTACTTTGAAAATATTTTGAAGAAGGTTGCCCCCTACGGAAATGCTAAATTCAATTTGATGAAACAGTATATTCTGGAGGCCAAGCAAAGGTTTGTAAAGAATTCGAAACATTTTTTTAAGAGCGTTGCCACCTTTTTAAAAGTCAATTTTAATTTAATTAATCATCTAAAAGAAATATTACAATATGGGCCCCAAGCGAAAGAGGCTCAAGAACGCTTAAGTTTGAAGATTTCTCTCTCCGGAATTGTTAAAAAGTTTCAAAAAAACTACTACCCCCCAAAAAAAAAGCCAAAAACAGCTTATTCTTAAAATTTGCCGCTTTTCTTACACACATATACTTATGTACAAATATGTATTTATAATTTTTTATCTTTAATCCAAAATATTGCGTATGTAAAGTATGCACATATGTACATACATACATACATATGTACATATATGGTAGTACTTACACCTTTGGGTATGTGATATCCAGCAATTATGGCATCCGTTTGCAAACTTCTGCCATTCGCAATAACAACTGGATACATTCTGCAAACAAAAATGAACTTCATACAACTAAGTACCTACTTACGGATTTAATTTTTATTTATAAACGCATATATTAAAGCGAAAATATTATGTATGCAACTATATGTATGTATATGTTCAGGTAAAAAAAACCATACCGTAAAGTCTCCTTTATGCAGGCTCTCAAGTAGGGTATTTGCTCCAAAGCGCTTTGATCGATTTCTGCTTCACGAGTCGGAAACACATTTCGTAATTCTTCGAAAAGCTTTTGTTGCTTTTCAGGATTTTTCGCCAACTGATAAATGGTTGAGGAGATGGCGACTGAGGTCTTAGTTGAAATTATGAAAATAAATATAAGAAAAACCATAAAAAAGAAATCACATATTAGTTTTTTGGATGACAAGGTACATAATATTAAATTAAAAAGGAGAAACAACTAAAAAGATTATATTAGGATTAAATACATACACATGCCAGATATTGGGAGTTGCTTTGAAAAGCAAATATTTATTCCATTACATACTCACATGAGTACATTGAAAGAAATGTAATTTAATTTTGTCTGTACTGAAGTGCTCGTTGCAGACACTTTCAAGTGCTATAACCAGAGACCGAAAATAATCGGGCCATTTATCAAAGTGCCGCCAAAAGTTTACAAAATTTTTAGCTTGCGGGTTAGACTTTTGTTGATTTGTTTTTTTTTTTTTATGTTTCGGATTGAACTTATATTTTATTTTATATTTTAAACGCAACGGAATTGGGGCAGGTATGTAAAACACACTGAGTGAAGTGCTTTGGTTTTTTTTTTAATAAGAGAAGAAAATGTTCCGAGAATCGCGCATTGAAGTCCGCATCATTTTTTTAGTATTGACAGTGATAATTAAGTACTAGTTAATTTGAAAATCTAAAAAATATTCCAATTGTTAGTCTGAGTTATAAGCGATCCGAATGCCATTGTTCATCTAAATCCGTACAGCCGTTTCTGAGTGAAAAGGGGTCTCGCATAGTGCAGATTTTTAATTTCATCAAATATAAAATCACACTATACCTATAAAAAAATGTTCTTAGTTAATAAAGAAATCAACTTTATCGCACATTTAGAGATATTTCATAAAACTTGTGTATAAGTTAAGTAAATTCGGCTTTTAAAACAGTTGGCAGCTCTCTTTGAAAGTATTTTAAAGCTAAAACTTTGTTAACTCTCCTTCGTCTGAAATTGCGATACCTATTTTATTTAAATTTTTTAAACATGTGGCAACCCCGCTTAATATAATTCAGAAATAAAGACTTCTCACACCCCCTCGATTGACACCCATATTTTAATAGTTAATTTAACTTATTAAGTAATTTTTAAACAGGTGCAAACCCTCTTTCAATACTTCAAAAATACAACACTCTTTCGTTTGACATCCATATGTATTTTGATATTGATAACTTGTATAAAGGTTAACTAAATTCGACATTCAATCAGGTGACAATCCTCTTAAAAATATTTTCAAACTACTATCTTCTGAAACCCCCTTTGTTTGGCATAAGTATGGTGATACATATTTCTCTTACCTAATTCCCTTCATTCAAATCGAATTTCATTTTTTAAACAGGTGGCAACCCTCTTATAGTTAAGTTAAGAAACAAATGTTATTTTGTAATTTGTAATAATTGATTTTTTTAATAATTTGAATATAATTTTTTAAAAGGTGGAAACTCTCAGGTAAATACATTAGATGTGCGGAATACTGCCACTAAAGAACTAGTGTACTTAGAAGACGGCTAAATACTTTACTATACATTACTCGTCTCAACGAAACTCACCTTAACTCAACTCATTTCACCTCCCAACACCACAACTCAAATCAACTGACTATACCTTCAATTCACTTGAACTCAACTCACTTCAATTCACTTGAACTCAGCTCATCTCAGCTTAGCGAATTTTATTTCCGAAAATCCCGAAATAGTCACGAGAATAGCGAAAGTCGTGAAAGTCCCGAAACGGTCAAAAAAATCCCGCAAAATCCTGAGTTGTCTTGAAAAACACGAAACAGTTCGAAAATCCCAAAGTAGTCCCAATGACTCGAAATAGTCCCAAAATAGTTTAGAAACTACCAAATGGTCGTTCGTAATCTCGAAATTCCGAAAAAGTTCCCAAAACTCCGAAGTAGTCCAATAAGCCACAATAGTACCGAACATATCGAAATTCTTAATTTTTGTACTAACAGGCCTATTCTGCTTGTAACCGAACATTTTGTAACAAGCTAATTTTGTTACCAACAATTGTCACCACTTCTTCCAACCGCAATTCTATTTACCTTTGTAGCATTTTAATTTGTTCAGCAATTCAGCTATGGAGTTTTGTGTAAATTCTGGTGTTGCATATTTCACGGGGCAATATTTTGTTACCTGCTCATGAGATGGTAACAAAATTTACCGGTTAAAAGAGTGTAGAGAATACGAAAAGGGTTTAAAAATTGACAGTAACTTTACTAACCGGTAACAAAATTTTTGTTACCAACGCAGAATAGGCCTGTTAGTAGCAAGTATTTAGAATTTAATAAAGTTATAAATAGTACTTATGAAGTACCGAGAAGTACTGAGTACTGAGAATACCCCAAGTGTGTTTAAAGTGGGAGAGTTGTTTTCGGCCAACCCTTTTTATCTATTGTTTCAAACTAGGTTGTGTGGCCGCTGTAACCGAGGAATACGCCTTGTTTACAACAAACACATTATTTTGACATTCAGAAGGACTGCGGCGAAAGTCTAAATTCGCCAGTAACACCACCTTGTATAAATTCGCCTTGAGGCCAATCTAATACTCGTGGCTATATGTCACCCAAAATTGGCTTGCATGCGTTTGCATTTGATTTCATTCAGCGAAACGTCAAATCAAAATGTCACGCTGAATAAAAATTGGAAATTGAGTTAGCTTCATACGCACACCGTTCAATTTCGGTTGGTCCCATACAAGTTGTATGTGAATGAAAAATTTGTGACAGTAAAATCGCGGCGTGCGTATTAGGTTAGCCTGTAAGTCACTCACCATGCCTGTGCTGGTGTATGACGCGGAGGCGTGGGCAATGAAAACATCTGATGAAGCGCGGCTCTAGGAGTTTTCGAGAGAAAGATTCTGCGAAAGATTTGTGGGCCTTCGCGCGTTGGCGATGGCGAATGCCGCAGACGATTTCACGATTAGCTGTATGAGCTTTACAACGACGTAGACATAGTGCAGCGAATTAAAATTCAGCGGCTACACCGGCTAGTCACATAGTCGTACGAATGGACAGAAGCGATCCTGCTCTGAAAGTATTAAGAGGAGAAGGACTTGGCTTCACTCGGCATTTCCAATTGGCGTCAGTTGGCACAAAAGAGAAACGACTGGCGTGCTTTGTTGAACAGGGCCAAAGAATAAGAAGAAGCATTTTTAAGTATTAGTTTACAAAAAGTCGTATTTCTTCACCTTTTCCCAAACTGCACTCTAACGATTTAAAAATCACAAAATTTTGCTCTGTACTTAAAAAAAAAAACTTGTTAATAGACTCACTGTATCAACACCAACTAAGAATAAATCCATTGCCAGCACCGCCGCCAATTTGCGATTTCCCGTTTTACGTACAATCCGTCCCACTATCGAATCGGTAGTATCACTTTGCAGCGCTTTCGTAGCGTCAGCGCGATCCATAGCTCGACTTATGTTACGCATGCAAATTCTAAGAAACGAAAAATTATTTGAAATTTATTAAAAGCAAATTTGTGTTTTGTTTTAAAAGTAATTAGCTTACAGAATTAATGAGACAAGTATCTGCTTATTTAATTACTTCAAAAACTAGCTACATACATATAGTATTCCATAAGGACCATCAACATCAACGTCAACACTCTCATCATGCGCATCATCATTTTGCCAAAAACATAACTTACTCTGTAAACTGATCCAACGCCTTTACGAAACTGCGATACGCCTTTGTCGGATAGAAACGCCAGAGTGGCATACGCAGCTCCAGTTGTGGCACAGCCCAAAAGAACGTATTTATAGCGTTTATGATTTGTTGGGACTCTTCACTGCCGTCTGGTGATAAACAGCCAAGGCGTGTATCCAATGCCACACGTCCCACAGCTAACAAAGAATACACAAAAAGACAAAATACATACATACATATGTACATTAAGTACTGTTATTGCTGTTTAATACACGAAATACATACTTCAGCCGAGTATAATTCTAAACTAACCCACACTTTCAACCGTACACATACACACACGCCATGTCCTGTCAGTCATTTTATACTTGTATTTTGCAATTTCATTTACTATATACTCACATTCCAACGCCCACTTGTGAAGTTCGTGTAGAAAATTTGCTGGCAGCTCATCATTTTCATTGCGCATTTCATGTACTCTGTAATTTATAAATTACGCAAAAACATTAGCCACATCATCATTATTACTTCAGATGATTTGTGTACAAACAGCATCCAAACAAATTGTGTACTTCTTTCGCTTCTTCTTTTTTGACATTTCATTTAACTCAAATTTAACAAAAATTATGCGAAAATACTTAATTTGTATGTATGTACAAATGGCTGTATGTATCCCAACAAGCATTTCAGTAAACGTTTTTAAAAATAACTTAAATTAAGTTTGCTATAATAAGCGTTAAATAAGAATTTTTAATATTAAGCTTATTAAAAGTTTTTTCAAACAAACCTTTAATAAGTTTTGAGAGCGAATGTTTATAAATAACTTAAACTTATAAATGAAATGCAAATGCCAACGACATGAAGTAGTAAATATAAAATTTTTTCAATCGTAAGTGACGTGTTTACGTTTTTTAAAATATATTATTAAAAGAAAAAATTAAATAAAACCAATGCGGTAAAACAAGAAAATCCAATCCAGGACCCGCTGCGCTAATCGGTGGAGCATTCGAGTCTTCAAATGATGAGTTCCCCTTATCCTTTCTTAGTTTAACATTCAATTAAAAATGTATTAAATTTTTTTCAGAAAAGTTCATCAATGAGAATGGCGGCGATGAAGCGGAATATATAGCTGCATCGATGTCGCTTTTCCAATTTGCCAATAACCGCAAGTAATTGAAAGCACGCAACAAGATGTAATAATTAACTTTTTTATGCTTAATTTGTATGTGTTATTGTGAATTTGTATGCTAAAATGTCTATTCCCTATTTATATTTTCGCGACTGTAGATGAGTCCGCCGAAAATTCGCATTTCGTTTAGTTTCTAGATGTTAAGCAATCTATGTATGAGTTTTTAATGAAATATCTTTAAATAAAGGGTTATAAAAATGTTAATAAAAAGCTTTCTTTTGAAAATTTTTAGTAAGTTTATATTGATACGCTTATATAAAACTTTTTTTGAACCTTTATTATAAGTTTACACTTTTACGCTTATAAAAAGCTTTCTTTTGAACATTTATTACAAGTTTATATTTCTACGCTTATAACCAATGTTCCTTTTCGATTATATTACGCTTACTTTCAAGCGTTTTATAAACAAAACATCAACGTTTTGTAAGCTTAATGTTTATAATTGAAAACTTAAAAAAAACTTTCTTTAAGTTTATTTTGCTTGTTGGGATGTGTCTACATTAGACTGCATCACTCCCCATACAAAAAAAAAAAATCGGTACTGATTTTTCACTAGAATTATAAAATATATTATAGTTTAAGACTTGCAATAAAATATTAAATATTTACGTGACCTATAGCTGATTTCTGTAACAATTCCCTACCAAGGCGAATTCATACAAGAATTCGCCGCCTTGTTCTCTGCTGCTAATGAGTAGTAGAGAATGACGTATATTCTCTACCAGTAGAGAAATAATCGGTAGATAAGAGTTACAAGAAACGAGCTACTCGATCGATTTGAAAAGCTCCAAAAATTTAATGAATTTGTGAATAAAAATAGTCTTTTAAGTCTTTTTTGAGAAAAATCACCTCAGATGACAAATCAGTTTAAGCTTAAAAAATTGGAAAGGGATGGAAATGTATTTTCTCACCCTTCTTATTTCTTTGCAAATAAGCTCATTGAAAGAGAAACATAAGATAAACCAACCTCATTCCATGATGAAAAAAAAATGTTATTATTATGATTGCGTGGAACAAAATTTTAATATTTTTAAACTTACACTATTTTGTCATCTGAGGGGATTTTTTTCAAAAAATCCTCTAGGAAAATGTTACTATTCATAAAGAAGTGCATTTTCGGAGGTATTGTCACATCGGTCCAGCTCACGTAAATCGTCGATGTTTTTGCAAAACCGCCCATCGACCAGTTGCAAAACCGCCTAAATCGCCGTGTGACAAAAATGAGATTTGGTAACCCCGAACTCCATGCATCGAGATTTATGCATCGAGATTTATGCATTAAAACAACAGATTTGTAAAACAGAAGAGCTAGAGAAAATACCGCCTATCAAAGTAATGCCTTCAAAGAATAAACCGTTTTTTTGCTCTACTGTAAAATTTGAGTGCTGTAAGATAGGCGGTTTTGCAATTGGGCGATGGACGGTTTTGCAAAAACATCGACAATATTTTTCCGAAAAATTTTGGTGGACGTCTTCAAATGTAATGCATTTTGTAATCCCGGCAGAAAACCCGAAACTTTTTATGGTGATGCAGTCTAATGTACATACATATGTATCTTTGTGTCCATATATATGTGGGGAAAAACTGCACCTTTGCATAAATTCGCTAGCTATTTCATTTAGTGATGGCACATACTGTTTTGCCGTCTGCGGTTGTAGTAGTATTTGTTGTACCTCTTGTCGGAACAGCGCCCAGTTTTTGCCATGTCTAGGGAAATACAAATTTATTGCATTACATTTACATTACTCTTCATTTCATACGTTAATGCATGTATGTATGTATGTATGTTAGGACTGGGAGTTCTATCCGTTTTTTTTTTAATATCGGTATATTCCGGTTATTCGAATATTCGAACATCTGCTTAAAAAATTGGAATATCCGGATATTAACCGGATATTACTGGCTATCCGGGTAGGAAAAGAGAGCGGATATCAACCGTATATCCGTATTTTATCCGTACGGATATCCGAATAAGCGGATTGTCCCAGCCCTAATATATGTACATTTATGTGGCATTATGTTTGTTTGTAGATATACAAGATAAACGTTGACAGTTAATTTGTAATACACTTTCTTTTTTTGCTACTCTCTTCACACTTACACACCAATAAGTCCAGCGATATCACCAAAGAAATCGTACCGTAATTTACCTTTGTAGTGCTTGAGTGAGGGCATTGAGGGTCTGTAAGTGTGGAAAAAGAAATGTTAAGAGACGTACATATGTATCTGTGCCAGTTTTTTTTTTTTAAAGCAGCCTAAGTCGGGATAACTCACAATTGGGTTTATATTATAGTGTTAATCTTTGGAGAAAACCCCTTTGATCTGTCTTTTCCTTATTTTAATAGTGTTAACTATAACAAAGTTATAAGGCTTTATAAAATACTCGAATGGATAAATGTGGCATTCGTTAAAAAAAAAATTGTCTTCAACAATATTGTTATGTCATTGTATGAAAAATGATTTTATTAGAAAAACTTAATTATAGTTGTTTGAGTACTAAAACATCATATTTATTTGCGTTTTCTATTTATTAAAAAATCCTAATTTCACTTAGGTTTTTAACCGACTTCCAAAAAAGGAAGAGGTTATCAGTTCATCGGAATATTTTTAATTTTTTTATTGTTTTAGTTTTTATTTTATTTTTTATGTATGTTACCGCATAACTTTGGACCACGCCAACCGGTTTCGATAATTCTTTTTGCATCGGAAAGGTAGTGTCTCAGAGGTGGTCCCATACTAATACGATTTGGTTTTTTGCTTAAAAGTTACTTGTTTATGTTAAGCTAAGTTAATTATAAGTGATATTTCGGTTAAAAAGCCTAAGTGGAGTTAATTTTGTTTTTCGATCGCTTCAACAAAAGCCCTAAGTAACAAAATGATGTTTTCGGCCGCCAAAGATTTTCTAATATTTTCCACTTACACTTAGAAAATCTATACTTCTCCAAGTTTCTGAGTGAAGTTAATGTTTCGGGCAGCTATACACTCTGGCCCGATATACAATTTTCAAGTCAAGTCTAAATCCGCTGAGCCGTTTCTGAGTGAACAGCACTTATTACACATCTACCGGCCCAGTCCTTTAATTTGACACATCATTTTGAAATTCGAAATAACGGTACTGATCTGATGATCTTCACAAAAAATGCTGTTGATAGATACTACTTTTCGAATAGATGGCAGCCCAAATGAAAGTTTTTTTCAACGTTTTTTTTTTTTTTAACTTATGTTTGGCAGTCATATTTTAACATTTTACTTAACTTGGATATGAGTTAAATAAATTGGAGTTTTCACACAGGTGGCAACCCTGTAAACGTATTTTTAAACTTGAATTGTTTTAAATATATTTTACCTGATATGTATCATATTGCAATTAACTGTTCAGTTAGTTGAATTTTATTTTTAAACACGTAGAGTGGCTCTCCCAAACACAGTTCAGAAAAAAATAATTTTCAAAACCATTTCGCTTGATACCCAACTTTTAATAATTCATTAGTAAATAATTTGAATCTATCCTTTTTAAAAGGTGGAAACCCTCTTCAAACACCTCAAAAATTTCTATAAGTTCAAACTAAAGATTTCTTAACACTCGTTTCTTTGGCACTCATTTTTTTAATATTACATACGACTTGTGTATAAGTTAACAAATTTTGACTCTTAAACAGGTGGCAACTCTTTGCAAAATATTTTCAACTACTATCTCCTTAAACCTGCTCCATCTGGCGGTATTTCTATTGCCTTAAATTAAATTTAAATTTATTTTTTAAAACAGGTGGCAACCCTCATACATTTCGTTTAGAAATAAAGCCTTTTCAAAAGCATTTCGCTTGATGCCCATAAATAGGAATAGTTTATTTATTATTTAAATAACTTGAATTAAGTTTTTTTTAAAGATTCGGAAAATTAAAAGCTTACTGCATATCCACAGGCCAAGCCCCTTAATTCGACATCTCATTTTAGAGTATCGGACGAACGATGGATAAATTTAATTAAGTTTTTTAACGGTGCAGATCTTATATCCTGGACAAAAAATGCCTTGGCGTATTATACAGTGACTCAAACAAATGACCACGTGTTGATCTTTTTTTAATATTCGTAATGTTTTTCGAGCTAAATTTTTTTGTTATTTTTCTTAAATTTTCCAAGCTTTAACCAAAATCATATAAACCACAGTTTCAGACTTTACTAAAAATTGAGGAAAATTCAGCGTATTTTAATCAAAATTTCAACATTTTAATCTGAATCTTTATGACGTTTGTAGGTATGCAGCTTTATAGCCCATACAATTATAGTCAAAAGAGGTGCAAGTTTCAACCAACTAAAACATCTCGTTAATTTTTGAGAATTTTTTTTTTTTGTGTCGGGTTTTTGGACTTTTTTCCATATAAGCATGAATTTCTTATGAAATAAATGCGTATTAAGTTTGAAACTGTAATTTATATGGTTTTGGTTAAAATTCGGTCGAAAATTGTAGAATAATAACAAAAAAATTTAGCTCGAAAAATATTACAAATATTTAAAACAAATCAACACCTGGACTTGAATAGGCGACAAAACTGTAGAACCGATTTTTTTCTAGAAATTCTGATTAAAATGTTTGAAATTTGGTGAATTTTAAAAAGTCCCAAACATTAAATTGCAAGGTTTTCGTTGTGATATCAACTATATTTCTGTGAAACAAAATAAATGGACAAAACTTATAAAGAACTAGTCTTCGTAATTATGCCCACCTGGAACAATTTCAAGGCCAGTTACTGTTTCTACGGAAAAATTTTACAAGAATCAGTGGGCGTTGTGCCGCATAAAGTTGCTTGAATTTTGTTGTTGTATTACTATTTGGTAGCCAAACAGAGCTATGTATATGATTTCATTGTTTTCAAAACAATGTGGAAGTGTTAATTAGTGGAGAAAAATGAAAACCAAAACACTGCTGATTTCTTATACATACACACAGCTAAAGCCAGTTCAATTTAGCAATTTACCAGTATCTTAACGTTTTTGAGTGTATTTACGAAATGTATCGATAGCACCTCAAGAAAAAAAAGTGAAAATTCTTCGACTGAAATCGAAAGTGCGAATTCGCGTCAAACGGTTGAGGTTAAGCTCTAATCATAAAAATCAACAAACAGAAATTTGTCGGCAACAAAAATCAACTATTTAGTTAAGTGTTAAATATTTGAGCACACTTATGCGTATTTGAATTGATGATTCGGACAAGTAGTACAATAGGGAATTTCGTCACCATTGATATCGCAGACGAAAATTAGGCCTGCCTTTTAACCGATATGAATGGCAAAAAATATGAGGTGCCATAAAAAACATTACTAAGAGCATAGCATATACACTGCCGGCCAAAAGTATTGGCACAGCAAATTCTTCACAATATATATGTACAAAAATTTGTTTCTAATATTTTTCCGCCAAATTTTTATAAAAAATATGGTTCAGCAAAAGACAAAAAAATATAATTCCTAAACTTTGTGCAAAACTCGGGAAAACTCAGCAAATTTTCATGCAAATTTTCAACTTTTTAATCAGATTCTTTAGAATTTTTTTTGTGTGTGCGGTTTTCAAGCCCATTAAATTCTGGTAAAAAAATGCAAGTTCGCTTTGATTTTTGAGAATTTTTTTTTTTGTTGAAAGTGTTTTGCATTTTTTCCATACAAAGTATTTTCAAGCATGAAAAAAAAATTGCCAAAAATCAGCGGTAATTCCTAGCTACTTAAAACTTGTGTTTTGTTATAATAAAATACTCATACAAAATTCTAAAACATCTGATTAAAATGTTGAAAATTTACATGAAAATTTTCTGAATTTTCGTGAGTTTTGCACAAAGTTTAGTGAATATATTTTTATGTTTATTGTTATAGAATGAACCATATTTTTATAAAAAAAAAATGGCGGAAAAGTATTAGAAAAAAATTGTTGCATATAATGTGGAAAATTTGCTGTGCCAATACTTTTTGCCGGCAGTATACATAGTTACATAAAATGGAAATAAGCTCATCGAAAAACGTTTGCCTTCATTTATAGCTCATTTTAGTTGACAGATGAACCGCAGGCAATATTAAAATGAGGCATAACGTAACCTCAAAAATATATGCAGAGACCCATATTTTTACTACAACTTAACGGTAAGGCTTTCGCTTTATTATTCATCCACCCAAATTCGGCTCGTCTTAACAGCCTCCACCTGTCAACCGTCTAGGCTCAATCAAGCAGATGGTTAACGTGCAACTGCTCACGCGCGCACGCCGGTGATATTGACTTGACGCACCCATTGTGACGTATGCGCATGTGCATTGCCTATTTAGGTTGTCAAGCATTACTGCATGCATACATCCATATTAACGTCTTTTGTGACTTCCCTGTTTCAAGATTTACGATTCTAAGACGATTTCATACACCCATTTGCTGGCACCGTTAAAGAAAACTACGCACAAGCAATGCCGAACGAATGCGCTTAATAACTCAAATTTCACACGCATACCGCGCGTAAGCCATTAAATGTGCTAGGTATGTACATAAAGGTGGTCAAACAAAAAATGTCAAAGATAGTTTTCGGGGCAGCTTCTAAAATTGTTCCTCTTGTCGAAGGAGGTGCTGGCATCAAACTTTACGATTTTAAGCATACATTTAGAGGATGCTCGTAAAATTTTATTTTTTACTCTATGATCCATATCGCTACATAAATGAAAAGGTGTTAAATCCACTTTTTCCAATTTTGAATTTTTTGTAGCAGAATGATAGATAATACACAGTTAATACGGCATTTCGGGTCTCCAAAAAGTTTTCAAAAAATGGACTTAGCACCTTTTCGCCTTTAGGTAACGATAGATTAACCAAAGAATTGGTAAAGCAACCTGATAATGTTTCAAATTTAAATTAGCTGAACAAATATTACAGGCTTCAGTTGTCATGGCAATAGTACCTTTTTATAATAATCTTATATGTCAGTTTCAATTGGAGACAATTAAGGCGTGCCGCACAGGTGGCAAAGCTCAGATTGCCTTATGAAGACGTCTTAACCGACTCCAATCGAGACCAAAATTTATATGTGATATCTGAGACTGCGGTATTATTTTTTTAAGGACCGCCCCAATGCATATACATATACATATATGAATGTTATATCACTGCTCAAAAGTACTTAAGCATACGTATTTACATACGTGCATACATAGTTGC